TGCCACCAGATATGTAAGACTGTGCCTATATGCTTGGCACATCTCCAGTATCTCGGAGAACTATTTGGGAAGAGTTTGTGTAACCTTGCCAGTACTAGATACCATTTTCGTTTGTTGTTCTAAGAGGGTGGCTGACTTTATTAGTTTTCTAGGGGCGACTGTAATGTGTTTCCATTGAGCTGGGGTGATCTCCCCTCCAAGATCTATTGTCCATTGTTTCGCCGGTGTGGCATTGACTAGTGATGTGTAGTCTAGGAGTAGTTTGTAGCACATGGAGAGTGGTCTGGTAGACCTAGGTAAGTGTTTGTTAGAGCATATCTGTTCCAATGGGGTGAGCATTGATGCTTCTGTGGGATGCTGGGTGAGGTTGTGGGGTTCATATTTGCGCAAGAAAGATTGGAGTTGCCTATTAGAAACGTGTGAGGCGAGTGGGATGCCGTATTCAGATTGTAATGTGGCGAAGTCTGCAAAGTTCCTTTATAGAGATGTGCTTGGGTGTGGAGGCCGTGTTCGTGCCATGGTTTGTCGTGGAATGTTGGTATGCAGTATGTGAGCGCCCATATAGGTGTGGCTTGTGAGATGATGGGGTGTGCGCATAGTTTGGCTCTTTGCGAGTCCCAGGTATGCAGTAGCAGTGACAGCTGTTCGGATATGTTTGGGATTACTGGTCTGAGAGGCTTGGGTAGCCATATGATATGCGTAATCTAGTATGGTTCTAGCAATTGTTTTTCAAGGGTCGCCCATTGAGGGGGGGGGAATTGGTCTAGGAAATGCAGTAATGCGGATGCCAGTATTGCCGCTTGGTAATAGGAGCGCACGTCTGGCACTGCCAGGCCCCCTTCTTTCAATGGGGCTTTTAGCAGTTTCAGCGCTACTCTGGGTTTCCTTCCTGCCCAGATGAACTTGGTTATGTCCCTTTGGATCTCTTTGAAGTAGTTTTGGGGGATTTGGAGCAGAAGAGTCCTAATACATATTGTAGCCTTGGGAGTATTGACATCTTGAGTGCAAATATTCTCTCTGTCTTTAAGGTTGCCTTACATACATTAAAGACTTTGATATAGTTTCTGGGTATGACATCCAAGGGTTTGAAAAGAATTCCCAGGTATTTTATGTAATCCTTTCTCCACTCAAATGGGTATGATCTGTTCAGGGTTTGTACCAGTGAGGAGGAGAGGCCTATCCCCATGGCTTGAGTTTTTGTTGTATTTAAGGAGTAGTATGAAAGGTTGCCATAGTCTCTTATGGTCTGCATAAGGTTAGGGAGGGAGTCTGATGTATCCGTGATATAGAGTCAAATATCGGCGAAAGTGCTAATCTTATATTCTGTGTCTTTTACAGTGATGCCATTGACGTGGGGATGTGCTCTAATGGTATGAAGGAGGGGTTTGAGTGCCAAAACATATAGTAGGGGCATTAGATATAGTAAAGGGGGTTGACATGAATCCTGATTGAAGGACCTGTGCTGACCGGGCACAGTATAAGGCAAATATGTGCTTTGTGACCAGTTGGGGGAACCCATAGGCTTGCAACGTGCTCTTCAGGAATGGCCAACTGAGACGATCAAACGCCTTCTCCGCGTCTAGTGTCAGGAGCAGTCCGATACCTCTTTCACTCCGAAGACTCTCCATAAGGAGTCTTAGTTTTCTGGTGTTATCTAGTCCCTGTCTGCCTTTTGTAAATCCTGTTTGATCATCTCTTATGAGGCTAGGTAGCAGGTCGCTGAGCCGGTTAGCTAGAATTTTCGCATATATCTTTGCATCAGTATTTAACAATGATATAGGGCGGTAATTTTTGCACTGGTCTGGTGCTTTATCTGGTTTCAGGAGGGTCACTATAGTGGCCATTAACATCTCGTGTGGCAATGTCCCTGAGGTGGCTGCTGAGTGAAATACCTTCAATAAGTGCGGGGCTAGTTCCTTGGCATATACTTTGTAGTAGGCATTCGTTAGGCCATCTGTACAATGTCTTTTTAAAGGGATATTGTAGGCATTATAACTACTACAACTGATTTAAAGTGTTTATGGTGCTTGGAGTCTGTGCACCAGCTACTGCATCACTGTTACTGCATCACTGTTAAAGCGGCACATTTTCAGTCCCCCTCCCAACTCCACTACATCTAATTGTCCCCCATAGTCACCCTCAAATGCCCCTAAGCCTATATCACCTATTTTTTAATCTTTATTTTTTTTTATTTAATGCGCTCAGGTTTTTGGGTGGTTTAACAGTTGCGACGGGTATTATAGATTTTTATTTGGCCTTTTTTGAGACTAGAAAAAAGAAGACATCAAATGGTAAGTTATTTTTTATTTACAGGTATTTAGTTTTATTGTTCCCCCCTCACTATATTTAGGTGAGGGGGTAGGTAGGTCTTTATTAAGAAAAAAAAAAAGAATTGGATGGGGGTGACTAGGGGCTTGGGAATCCTTGTCACCTGGGGGTTCATTTAGCCCCCACCCGTCGACCACGGGTGGGGGCTGGTGGGATGGGGGACAATAGGTGTCGTGTTACACCCCCTCCCCCCATAGTCATTTAGGGCCCTCACCTGCCACTCATGGATGGGGGCCTGGGGAAAGGAAAATAGGTCATCCCGCCCATTTTCATTTAGGGACCCCATCTTCCGCTCATAGGTGGGTGCTGGGGGGGACAGTAGGTTCAACCCCCCCCATTTTAATTTAGGGCCTATACTTAGTATTAGTAAATTTGGCTGAAAGGCCAATTCAGGTCGTTCAGCCTTTTGGTAGATAGCTCCCTAATACCGTGGGAGTTATCTACTAAGCGGCTGCAAAATGCACAAATTGGATCGGAATTTCATTAATTCAAATGAAATTTCGATCTGAACAAAGTCCCGAATTGCAACCTTACACGAATGGAGAAACTCATTCTGTTAGGATGAAATTCGGTAGTTTCGCCGGCGTTCTGTCTAAATGACAATACGTTTGGGGATACTGACCGGAAGCATCGCAAGATCACAAGGAAACGTAAGAATTGTGGAAAAATGTCTCTTACCACTGGAAATGGAGCACACTTTGCTCCTCCGCTGGTCATAGATGGTCAAACGTAGGAAACCTCCATAAGACAAGTAGTCCTTACTTTGTCTTATGTTTTAAAGAAAACTAGAGCAGACAGGAAGAAATGCAGAACATATCCTGATAGAGGGAGAGAAGAGGAATCGATTGGGGAAAGGTAAGTTCAGCATGACAGTGCTGCTTTAAATAGTTTACTTACTGTTTAGCAGAGATGCTCTATCCTGTAGCAAAACTTCAAATTTTGATGTCTGTGGCCAAGGGATGCAATCTTATAGCTGCAGCAATTTTTGCAAGTTACTGTAGACAGAAGCCACTCTATGCAATAGGCACAGGGTGTTATGGTATTTAGCATGTCCTCTGATGTGTTTCTCTGCCGCTTAAAGGCACATTCTGGTTTGGAAATTACTTTCAAATATTGGATAGAAGGGGAAAAATTAGTTATATAATTTGTGTTGGGAAAAAGCCTAGATGACATGTATTCTGGCATTGTAATTCATTATGACATGTCCATAGCTATACATCATTGCATATTGATTTACTATGTTTTCACTCTGTCTGCGTGAGAATGTTACGTGTCCCATTCTAAGTCTTACATTCATTGGTGACATCCTTTTTTTTTTTTTGTGTACATCCTCTGGCCCACTTTCCTCATCCTAAATTATTTATTTTTGCTTTCTGTACCTGTGTAAAATCTACTTTTCTGACCCTTTACCCAATCCTGTAATGTTAAATAGCACAGGGTATTCACTAAACTTGGCCCCAAACCACATGAAGCAAAACCATTCTGGCTGTGACTCACAACCTGCATGGAAAATTTTTTTTGTTGCAATCTGACCTGACAGAACAGTGTGTTTACTTTAGACGTTTTTATCTCCTTCTCTGTTAATTGGACTTTAATTACACACAGGAGGATCCTGTTGGCTCTAGCAGACTATTAACCAAGAAGGAGATACAAAATTCTAAATTAAACAGAGTGTGCTATAAAGGAAGTTTAAACATTAAATCTCTCTTTACAATAAGTGTTTAGGAAAGCTGTATAAGGGATTTGAGACAGCAGGTGCATGATCTACACAACAAAACTGCTCCATTAAGCAAAGGTTGTTTAATATTAACCCCAAGATTCTTGAACAGCTTCACTACTTATTCACTTTGGAGTATTTAGAAGTTTCTTCTACTGGGAGGGCATCCCAAAAAGCACCTGGGTGCATTCCAGCCTTGGTTTGTCCTACTCCTCTGTATATTGATGGAAATGTAGTCATCCTTTAGCCTTGTGTAATGTCTTAGAATGGCTTATCAAAGCCATTCAAAGACAGTACAGGGAATCACAACTGTAGTTCTTCTTGATTTAAATCCTTTATTTACTTACCTGATTCAAGCACGGATATCCCTTGGTACTGTGCGCACGCAATAGATCTCCCCATAGGAAAACTATGGGGAAAATTTTGATGCTAGTTGTCCCAATGTAGAGCGTGAGGATGTCCAGTGTCAGATACAGGACCAAAGGTCCATTAGGATCCAGGAAGAGCCTCCAGTGGCTGCAAGACAGCCACTAGAGGCAGACTTAGTGCTGCAATGTGAACATTGCAGTTTCTCTAGGGCACAAAGCGCAATAAGGGACTCTGTACCATGACCACTTCAATTGGTGTCCCTTTAATGTAAGTTTTAATTTATTATCGTTATAATACATGGTAAACGGATGTTACATCTACAATGGAATCCGCATTTTGCACCTGAGTAATTTTGAAAATATGGTCTCTGAAAGATGTTATTCTATTGTAAATTGTGATCTGCAACTGGAAGAATCTCTTTATTTAATGACTGTTTGCAAGTCAGACACCATGAATGGGTTAAGATCTCAAAGAATGTGACTTTCAGCTTCATATGAAATGCAAGTCCCTCTTCTTTTTATTAGTCTGTAGTGATGTCCCGAACGGTTCGCCGAACGACATAAACTTTGACCCTGTACCTCGCAGTCAGCAGAAACATTCCAGCCAATCAGCAGCAGACCCTCCCTCCCAGACCCTCCCGCCTCCTGGACAGCTCACTAAGAATGCAGCTTCACAATGAATGTAAAATGGATGCTGTCCAGGAGGTGGGAGGGTCTGGGAGGGAGGGTCTGCTGCTGATTGGCTGGAATGTGTCTGCTGACTGTGAGGTACAGGGTCAAAGTTTATGTTTATGTTCCCCGTCCGCGGCGAACCGTTCGGGACATCACTACTAGTCCGAGTTGGAATTGCTGAGCTCAGTGAAGCAGAAATGTAACCTTTTTTCGTTTTTATAATTATTTTGTTGTCCAGTTCTTTCACTTACGTTGTGGCTTGGCATATTTCATATGCTAAATTTTCCTATTTATATTTTTTATGTACATAATGAGCTTTAAAAGTTGCCTGTATTGTGGTTTAATACCAATCACGTCTCCAAAATAAGTAACAAGAAATCTGTACATCAGCATTTTTTACAAAATGTTGCCTTTTGTTTACATACGGTTTTAAACCCTGTGGCATCCAACTTCAGCACTTTTTTTTTACAAAAAGATGCTTTTTGTTTACGTACATTTTTAATTCCTGTGGCATCCAACTTGTTCAAATCATTCTGCAGCTCAGTCTTTGTTTTAAAAAGTCAACACACTTATTCTTTTGGTAGATCACGTTTATAATTAAAAATCATCAACTTCCTTGGTTAAGATAGTGGACCTTGTCTTAAAAGGACACTGTAGTCACCAGCATAACTACAGCTTAATGTAGTTGTTTTGGTAAGTATAATCATTACTTTCAGCTTTTTCATGCAAACAATGCATTTTCTGAGTAAAGGCAGTGTTTACATTGCCCCCTAGGGACACTTCCAGTGGCCACTCCTCAGATGACCACTGGAGATGCTGTCTGGAGACGATGAATTTTCCTCATAGAGATGCATTAATTCAATGCATCTATATAAGGAGGTGCTGATTGGCCAAGCCAAGATTTGGCTCCGCCCCATCCCACCTCCTTGCCGATTTCAACCCTATGGAAAGAATTGGATTGGCTAAAAATTAGCAATTCTGATAATGTCACCAAGGAGGCGTATCGGGGGCAGGGCCAGTGCTGGCGGACCCACGCAACACTGGAAGTAAGGGTAATAATAAGGGGGGCAAGCCACCTAAATGGTGGTTTTAACACTATAGGTTCAGGAATACATGTTTGTGTTAATGACCCTATAGTGTTCCTTTAAACTCCACCCTTTGTCAGATTTGTAAGTCGTATCAAAAATACATAAGACACATTAGTTTGTCCTATGTTTTAAATCGAAATAGATCAGAAATTAATACAATAAGAACAGATTCTGAACGATGAAGAGAACAGCAAACCATAAGAGAAAGGCAAGTTTGAAGTGACAGAGCCACTTTACGTTCTACCCATATTTTTACGATCGCTTAGTATAATGTAAATATTTTTTTGTGACACTTCTTTTTCTTAAAAAATATATGTTTATGTATATTCTCTTTTTCGAACAGTCATTGAAACCCAGCCTGAATATACTTGTAAAGAGACAAGTCCTACTCAGACATCTGCTTAAACATTATTGGTTCTCATTAGCATGTTGATTTCTGGCTATTTCCGTTTGTAATGTGTGTCTGCATACCAAATACACAAGCTGCTCATGAATATACTTTACGTCTTTTAATATGTCTTGTTTCTTTATTATTCTATATGAATTGGTGATCAGCATTAATCTATTTACCTATTAGTAGAGATTTATGTCAGCTATAGTTTTGTCATTACCTTCTTAATGAGACACGTTTCTTGTAAAATCAGATGTCACTTTGCAGGATTTGCTTTTAAATTAATTCTTTTTGGGTTGCTCTATTTCTCTCTATTTGTATTTATGTGGCATTCACCTTAGTTTCTTTAGTTTTACATAAGAAGCAGCAAGGACTACTTTTTATTATGGGCGTCATTGGCAAATGTTGACAGTGGGAGGAGCTTAAGCCAAGTTCAATTTTTGTTGCTAAGCTGATTTGATGAATCCCACAGAACAGCAAACTGCAGACATTATGGATATAGGGGAACACAATTGTGAAAGTTTGGAGAGTTGAGTCTCTCTCTCTCTCTTTTTCTCTTTCTCTCTTTCTCTCTCTCTCTCCCCCTCCCTCCCTCTTTCTCTCCCCCTTCCCCCCTTCCATATGATCAGTGTAATTTTCATCAAGCCAGGACAACATTGACTGCGTGATAGAGCTGGGCCAGATATTGTCATCCAGCATGCTGACGTCTGAACGTCACTCCGTCCCTTTACTGCCTGTGATTGCTATAGGTGGAGAGCAGACTGATCGCCTGTGGAAAGTTTCTTCTGCTCTCCCTGTCCATCAATTTTCAGGCATACAGTCTGTGCCATATAATTGACAGATGGGAGAGTAACCTATTTTTTAAAGGAACACTATAGTCCCCTAAATTACTTTAGCTAAATAAAGCAGTTTTAGTGTATAGATCATTCCCCTGCAATTTCACTGCTCAATTCACTGTCATTTAGGAGTTAAATCACTTTGTTTCAGTTTATGCATCCCTAGCCACACTTCCCCTGGCTATGATTGACAGAGCCTGCATGAAAAAAAAACTGGTTTCACTTTCAAACAGATGTAATTTACCTTAAATAATTGTATCTCAATCTCTAAATTGAACTTTAATCACATACAGAGGCTCTTGCAGGGTCTAGCAAGCTATTAACATAGCAGGGGATAAGAAAATCTTAATTAAACAGAACTTGCAATAAAGAAAGCCTAAATAGGGCTCTCTTTACAGGAAGTGTTTATGGAAGGCTGTGCAAGTCACATGCAGGGAGGTGTGACTAGGGTTCATAAACAAAGGGATTTAACTCCTAAATGGCAGATGATTGAGCAGTGAGGCTGCAGGGGCATGTTCTATACACCAAAACTGCTTCATTAAGCTAAAGTTGTTCAGGTGACTATAGTGTCCCTTTAAATGTTTTTTTCTCTCCCAATTTATAGGTTTGCTAGCAAAACTGCTAGCACAATGTATAGGTTACATTTTGTTTGCTCGTTAAAAAGAGGGAAAGTAATTTGGGGCATTCCAGGTGCTCTCTATAGGATGCATCTTTTGGCTGGGGACTGAAGCTAATTACTTTATTTTGTAGAGCAAATTGCTACTAGTTTGTAAGAGGGATAAGAAACTGCATGTAAACAACATACCATATGTATATCTGTTTACATATCCTTCAGCAACTGTGCAATTATTTCTCTGATTATCAGCCAATTGCCCTTGCAATGTATCCATTGCCAGTGTATTTAGAGCCAAACTTGTAGAAAAGAGCAATTTGTTCAGTATATTAGATTTGTTCAAAATTATCTACAATTAAAACAGGACAGTATTTTAAACAAAAATAAAAAAAACAATTTGCCACATTAAAAGGGTCTATATTGAATATAAGCTAAAGGTAAAACATCTTTTTAAAATGTTGGTTGTTTATTTGCATTTCTGTGGGTTTTTGACTAGATTTCATTTTCTTCTGGGAAAACAAACCTGTTTTTTTCAGGGATGTGAACATTTGAAAACACTCTACTTGTCAAAGGCACTAAAACAGTAGCCCAATCTACTTGTTCTGATACACACAATAATTTCAGATTGGGGCGCTTGACTAGAGCCCAATTTTTTTTTCGTGATTACTGCTGTTGGGTCCTTTTGATGCAAATCTTTTGAAAGTGAGATAGAAACATAGAATGTGACGGCAGATAAGAACCATTCGGCCCATCTAGTCTGCCCAATTTTCTAAATACTTTTATTAGTCCCTAGTCTTATCTTATAGTTAGGATAGCCTTATGCCTATCCCATGCATGCTTAAACTCCTTTACTGTGTTAACCTCTACCACTTCAGCTGGAAGGCTATTCCATGCATCCACTACCCTCTCAGTAAAGTAATACTTCCTGATATTATTTTTAAACCTTTTGTCCCTCTAATTTAAGACTATGTCCTCTTGTTGTGGTAGTTTTTCTTCTTTTAAATATAGTCTCCTCCTTTACTGTGTTGATTCCCTTTATGTATTTAAATGTTTCTATCATATCCCCCCTGTCTCGTCTTTCCTCCAAGCTATACATGTTAAGATCCTTTAACCTTTCCTGGTAAGTTTTATCCCGCAATCCATGAACCAGTTTAGTAGCCCTTCTCTGAACCCTCTCTAAGGTATCAATATCCTTCTGAAGATACGGTCTCCAGTACTGTGTACAATACTCCAAGTGAGGTCTCACCAGTGTTCTGTACAATGGCATGAGCACTTCCCTCTTTCTACTGCTAATACCTCTCCCTATACAACCAAGCATTCTGCTAGCATTTCCTGCTGCTCTATTACATTGTCTGCCTACCTTTAAGTCATCAGAAATAATCACCCCTAAATCCCTTTCCTCATATGTTGAGGTTAGGACTCTATCAAATATTCTGTACTCTGCCCTTGGGTTTTTACGTCCAAGATGCATTATCTTGCACTTATCCACATTAAATGTCAGTTGCCACAATTCTGACCATTTTTCTAGTTTACCTAAATCATTTGCCATTTGGCTTATCCCTCCTGGAACATCAACCCTGTTACATATCTTAGTATCATCAGCAAAAAGACATACCTTACCATCAAGACCTTCTGCAATATCACTAATAAAAATATTAAAGAGAATGGGTCCAAGTACAGATCCCTGAGGTACCCCACTGGTGACAAGTCCAAGCTTCGAATATATTCCATTAACTACAACCCTCTGTTGCCTGTCACTCAGCCACTGCCTTACCCATTCAACAATATTGGAATCCAAACTTAAAGATTGCAGTTTATTGATAAGCCTTCTATGTGCAACAGTGTCAAAAGCCTTACTGAAATCTAGGTAAGCAATGTCTACTGCACCACCCTGATCTATAATTTTAGTTACCCAATCAAAAAAATCAATAAGATTAGTTTGGCATGATCTCCCTGAAGTAAACCCATGTTGTCTCTGATCTTGAAATCCATGTGTTTTTAGATGTTCAACAATCCTATCCTTTAACATGGTTTCCATCACTTTCCCCACTACTGAAGTAAGGCTTACTGGCCTATAGTTGCCCGACTCCTCCCTATTACCTTTCTTGTAAATGGGCACAACATTCGCTAACTTCCAATCTTCTGGGACTACTCCTGTTA